CAGGTCCCCCGCACCAACGCCTTGCTGGCAGCCATGAAGAGGCAGAACGTGAGGACTCTGTCCCTCATCGCCTGCACCTTCACGTACCTGCTGGTGGGCGCCGCCGTGTTCGACGCCCTCGAGTCCGACCATGAGATGCGCGAGGAGGAGAAGCTCAAGGCGGAGGAGATCCGGATCAGGGGCAAGTACAACATCAGCAGCGATGACTACCGGCAGCTCGAGCTGGTGATCCTGCAGTCGGAGCCGCACCGCGCCGGCGTGCAGTGGAAATTCGCTGGCTCCTTCTACTTTGCCATCACGGTCATCACTACCATAGGTAAGCGCTGGGTGCGCCTCCGCTGGGCGCCCGCTCCCGGAAGAGTCCGGGGAAATCGCTGAAAGCGCGACGCAGGGCCGGGTGCGGGGTGTTTGGGGTACACGTAGCCTCGTGTGGGGGCTCTCCTGCAGCGCCCCCTGGTCTCTGGGGAGCCCACTCCTCTCTTATGCCTCTGAGCGCATTCCTTGGGAACCCCACCCGTTGCTCTCCGCAGCGCCCGTGTCTGGGCCAGGCGTGTGAGCCTGGAGAGAGTGTGTTGGAGCCCCGAGGGCGGAGGCGCCACTTTTTTGAAGAGTGGAGCGCTAAGAATAATCCCATCTCAGTCACCCACCCACCCACCGCCCCAACGCGGGCTGCGCTGTGCGGGATTCCAAGACTTACACTCTGCCTCTTGGCGAGTTGGAGAGGGCTGGCACCCTAGGACTTGGGCACCTGGAGACTGTTCCTGAGGGTGGGAGGCACTGACCCTAGCTAGCCTCTCATCTCCCTTTTGCTTTCCCTGACACCAGGTTTCACCCCCTTTTTCTCTGAGCTTGGACATGGGAGAAGAGTGCTCTCTAGCACTCTGGGTGGGGACCAGGCAGGTGAACTGCTCTTGGATGGAGGTGGATGGCCCATCCCCTTGATTGTGACTGTGGGCAAGGCAAGTCTGGATATTGCCCCAAAATGAGACATTCAGCCCCACCCCACCACATGAGGGTCCAGTTGGTGCACTTGGAGTTGTCTGTAAAACCCATGCCTGGGATGCGTCCCAGCAGGGTGTCTGGTGGGTCCTTAGGGTATCACCCCCACTGAGGCTGGGTGTTGGGAGACTTTCACTTGGAGACCTGTGGGCATTTGAGCATATCCCTTCATCCCTGTGGGCAGCAGGCTGTGTTGCGTTTCTGTGGGTCACACTTGTCCCAGCATGGCATGCTGCGTCTTTAGGGTATTAGGTGTCTCTTGTACCTGCCAGGGCCAGAAGCTGTCCCTCCAGTCCTTTCGGCCCCTGAGTGCTGGGCAGAGGTCTCTTTCTTCCTGCCCTCTCTAGCCCCCATGCCTTACTTCCCTCCCTGACCCCCCCCCCTAATTTCCCTTGATATTTTTCTTGGTCTGCAAAGCTCTACATGCTGGGGAGTTGGGGGTGGGGGGTGGATTTCGCTGTGCCATATGCAACAGGAAGCACCAGCACAGGACGGCCTGTCTTTCCTTCTTGGTTGAGGAGAGTTTTTAGAGTGTCATCTTGTTTTCAATGTTTAATTCATTGGTGCAGGTTTTAATGTTCGGAAAGGAAGTTGCCTTCTGTCGGCTCCCAGATCAGCTTTGCCCCTGCTGGCCCCAAGCCCTCTGCTTGCACCAAAAGGGAAGAGTCCTTCCTCCTTGTTGTGTTTCTAGTGTTGGGGGGGGGGGGCTGGTCATTGCCGTCATTTCTGTCTTTAAACTGTGGAGGTGGCATGCAGATGTGCAAGTCATTGATTCTGGGGGCCTATTTGTTGGAGAGCAGGAGAGCAAGAAATATGCCCGTGGAGCTGGCCTTGCAAGGGAGGGAGGAAGCCCAGGTTTCTAAAGGTGCTTTCTGTGATCTAGACCCAGACAGGTGACATGGCGACCGTGCTGGCTCCCAGTCGTGAAACAGCACATAAAAGGTTTGGCTGCTTCCAGGAGGTGAGCAACAGCATTGAGGAAAGAGGTGGAGTTAAAAACAAACCCAGAAAGGTTCTAATTAAAAAAAAAATTGTTGTGACTAACGAAGTTCTTATCAAGGTATGTTTTGCATTATTGATTTTGACGGGTGATTCTGGACGTGTGCTCCTAATGGTGAGCCTCTGAAGAGAACATGGGAAACGTGGACATGGAGGTGGCCATCTCATCTAGGGGTGGTGGGCTGACCTCAGTGCAGGGCCAGGGGCTCCTGAGGAACATGTGACTTTCTCCCTCCCTTACTGGGGTTTCAGCTGGTTTTCTGAAAAGCAGGGTTGGAGAACACACACACACACTTGCACACTCTCACACTTCTTCTTTTATAAAGACACACTCATATACTGTCACACACACTCACAGTTTCTCATGCACACTCACACATACAAACACACACATTTTCTTACACAGACACACTCATATACTGTCACACACACTCACAGTTTCTCATGCACACTCACACACAAACACACACACATTTTCCTTTCTTTTTTTCATTTTTATACACACATTTTCTTACAGACACTCATATGCTGTCTCATACACACAGTTTCTCATGCACACTCACACATACAAACACACACATGTTCTTACACAGACACACTCATATGCTGTCTCACACGCACACATTATTTCTCATGCAGTCACACACACTCTTGTAGTCTCACCTCCTCACACACACATAGACACTCTCTTTCTCACACATGTGCCGTAACACAACTGCCCATTAGTGGACAGATATTGTATGTGGAGCCCACAGACTGGGAATCTGAATCCTGCCATAGTCCTGGGACATCATTTCCTGACTCCCAGCCTCAGTTTACCCACCTGTCAGAAGGCCATCACACAGTCAGCGCCGGCTGGCAGCCTCTGGGGGCCGGCAGGGTCCCACATGCCCAGGGCTGCCAGGCGCAGTGCAGCACTTAGTAGGTGTGCAGTCCACGTTCCTGGACAGTGGCTGATCCAGCCTCGTGCTCTTTGGCCTAAGAAGCTTTTAGCAGAAGAGCTCACATTTACAGGAAATAAAGCACCTTTTCAGTTAATTCTGCTTGTTTTCTTCTCCTTTTTTTTAATATAAATGCAAATTAAGGTGCTCTTAGGCCTAGAACAAAAGCCGCCCTCCGAGGAGTAGCCTCTACTGGACGGTGATGTGAATGAGTCGGGTTAATCTTCATGGGCGTTCTTATTTTTAATCTAACCTTGAGCGATTTCTCAAGTGTGCGTCAACTTTGCGTCCCAGCCTCCGAGGAGGCTGCGGTGGGAGCCGGGTGCTGGCGTCTTCTAGTGAACGCATCTTCTCAGATACAGTTATTAGCTCACTCTGGGAAATGGATTTAAAAAACACATATAATTGCCACTTCGTGTTGAATCTGTGGCCGCGCCTGGGTGAAAGGCTTTGGAGGGAAATTGCACTGAATCCTGCCCCAGATCTCCAGGGAGCCCTGGGCATAGCAGCCTGCTGTCGTGATCACCAGGGGACAGCACCAGTCCAGCCAGCT